TGATTCTATCTCTTTTAAAAATATGGATAGGACATAAGGATGAAAATCATTCTGGATACATGCCAGTCTTTGGCAACAAAATTTAATACTATAAGTTAAATAAAATATAAGTAATATATATCATACATTTTGCTCTCTGGCAGACATTCTGTGGTATTTGCCATAAGCATAGTAGTTCTTTTTCCATACACTAGGGGGAGATGTAGCATAATCACTCTGGAGGGGTGGTGAGCAAATCTATGTCTATGAAAATAGATTTTCCTATCACTGATTCTCTTCTTAGACACTGTGTTTTACCTCCCCTCAATTGCATAGCAACACATCTAAATAGGACTAATCAATAGACCATAATACCTTTCTTTGGAGTTATTTCATTCTCTTGCTATCCCCTTATGCTAAACCTCTACTAAAGATATTCTGTGACTTTCCATAAGTTAATACATAATGCAAAAAAAGGGATAGATATGTCTATTTTAAAAGTAATTATTAATAAGTGAATGTGTAATCACTACTTATTTAAGTTAGTTGCTGCTTCAAAGCCTCAAAGCAAGCCTTGGCTTCCAGGGTACCTGTGTTGAGACAGAAGTACTAATTCACAAATAGGTATGAAGTTCAGACTTTGCAAGGCAACGTTATTAAGCATCCAGTTCACAAATATAGGTATGAAGTTCAGACTTTGCAAGGCAAAATTATTAAGTATCCAGTTCACAAGACAATCTAGGATTCTAGAAAGTTCTAGTTCCCCTGTTTAGCACAATATATGCATGACAAACTATTTAGAAAATACAGACAGTTTAGGATTTGAAGGTCTGGCTCTAAAGAGCTCTTTGAATTTTTAAATTGTTGAGAGTCTCTTAAGGGAGTGTTGAATTCTGGATACAGATCAGACTGCAAATTCAGACTATAGGTTATCTCATTGAAGCCTCCAGGAAATAAATAGCTCCTTTACCTGAATCTTTAAGCAATTATCCCAACAACAATCTTCAGAACTTTCTTGTAATTGGTCTGGATTTGATTTTCTTTGAATCCTGAATGATTCATGTTACAGACTTGTACGTTAGTCATTCACAATTTATAAATGGCAACATAACTTCAGTATTTATGAATTGCAATCAATACTCTAGCAATCAAAACACTCACCTTTTCTATTTCAATACTTCAATTTTCCTTTTTGTTCTTAGCGCTTTCCCAGAATTGCTGGATCACAAGCAAACCAGTCTTCACTTGCAGGTGTTTGTGGTAAGTTTGGGAAGAAAGAATCTCTGAGATTAGAAACTAAAGTTGGAGACCTGGATGAATCTAGAGAGAAAGTGTGTGTGTGTGTGTGTGTGTGTGTGTGTGTGGTAATGCTGGTGGTAGCATTACTCACAAAACAGGAATTTTAACAGATCTCCTGATCTGTCAGCTTTCATGTTTTACAGTTCCGTTTCCATGCATAGACAATTTAACAAATATGGCTATTGACAGCTATTTGGTCATGAGATAAAATTTAAATTGCTATGTGGAACTTTAGTAACAAGGATGAAGGTGAAAAAAATACCAAAACTTGTGTGTGTGTGAATGTGTGTGTGAAAGAGAGAGAGAGAGAGTATATGTTTGCTTTACCTTGAACCTGACCTAAGATGGGGCTTAGAATAACAAAAATAAAGGCAAACCCTAAATATTATGCAGCTAGTTTTGTGTCTTAACGAGCTACAAAGCTTGTATTTACAGTGAGTTTCTCTCCTTAAAGGAGAGGCTCATTTTCTCTGAGGAGACAGGGCCTCTCTTTCAAAGGGCGTCTGCTTTTCTTCTGAAACACTTTCATAATCAAGTGACTTTCCTTGCATGGGTCCCTGGGGACTGCTGATTTTTCTCTGAGGATGAAGAAAGTTACATATTGATTGCTATTGCTCGCGGCATGTTTGCACCAGCGAGGGCAGAAGAGTGCTTGCGCGCACCTTTGAATTCACACATACTCTTGGAAATACACAACGCACCCCATAGAAACTCGCGCGTGCACACGCATACACATACACACACACACACCCCTCCGCACCTCATTCAGACGTGTCCGCGGAGTCGGGAAATCTGTGCCTCACTTGTCATGGGTGTGTGTACGTGACAGCTTGTCTGTGTTGTGTGTGTGTCTGTACAGAAACCCATTAGGAAGACCGCAGCTACCCTATTCTGTAAGCAAGCTGCGATTCCCATTCCTGTGCACAACGAACCGAAATATAAAAAAAAAAATTAAATCGCTGTCAAACTTTTTTGAAAATTCTCTTTTCCGGAGGAAGACGGTGAAAGAGCTTCTCCTGGTAGTTAGAGACCCGGGAGACCCGGCGGCGAGACCCCGGGGCGCCGTCGCCACAGCGGAGCATGGGGCTAGGGTAGCCCGGCTCGCTGGTTTCCCATCTAACTGATCTAATCAATGACTCTGAAGCGCTGGCGCTCCTGGCTCCGCCCCCACCAGTCTCTTCTCCACCTCCCATTGGACACAGGCCGAGGAGGCAGGGCCTTGCTCCTCGCACGGATTGGTTGGCAGGGAATCAGTATCAATGTTTAAGCGGCGGCGTGAGGTGAATAGAGTCAGTCAGCAAGAGACGCTGGGGAGAGAGCAGGGACTTCAAGCCCCACGGATGCGGCAGTGGCAGAGGGAGGCTGGGGAGACGCTACTCCAACTGTTGAATTGAATTTTCACCTTTCATTTCCTCCCCTGCTTTGCTTGCGGAGATGGATTTATTTGCTTTGAAATCCACACGTCTTTCTCAGGCTGTGGGGTGATCCTGACAGGCACCAGATTGAAAGAGACCACCCGTGACAGAAAAGGAGGAAAAAAAAAATTAAAACCTTTCACAACAGACTGCACAATTAACTATGCACACCGGTGCTGGACTGTGTGAATAAAGAACATTGAGAGGAAAATCTTGAACTGTGATGCGGGGCTAAGCCGTGACAATTACTGGAAACCTGATTTTCTAAAATTATTTTTCCAAGACTCTGAGAGATTTGGGGGTGCTTCACGCCTAATCAAAAGGAGAGGTGTTTTTCCAAAAAATAAAATAAATACAACTAGGAAAGCAGACGCCTTGTTTTCCAGAGCCTCGGACTCCGGCAGAAAGAGGTAGAGTAAAAGTGCTGCTGGATTCAGCTTCATCTTCCTCCCTCCCTCCCTTTCTCTCGCTTTTTTCTTTTCCCCCAAAACATGAATCTGGTTTTTCTTTCTATAGAGTGAGTCAGAGAAAGCGTTAGAAGAAGCTGCAACTAATGTCTGTGAAGGGAGGACCATGAGGCGAGAGTGAATACGATTCGTTCCGCTGCTTCTGACTCATCCGGCAGATCGGAACACCTGCATTTCTGGATGTGTCATCCCCGTATGTCGAGGCGCCTCGAGAACCCGAAATAATGTGTAGACAGACCTGTGCCTAACATCCTATCGGAGGTCGCTCTCCAGGGTGGGCGCCCCTGGCTGGACCGCCTCGGCCGCAGCTCCTCACCCCCTGCCCTCCCCGAGTCGCCCAGAGAGACTGTGAGAGGGAGACTGCAGAATGCATCACGCCAAACCTTGATGTGTTTCTTTCATACAACCCACTCCTCCTACTAGAACATTTTTTTTTTCCGCACTTTATTCGCTTCAGATATTCCCCACTTTTATTCCTCTCCAAGGTTTTCCTTTCTAGATGAAGAGGATTGGGAGGCTGGGCCATTGGAAGGAGATGCTGAATAGAAAGAAAAGAGAGGCACTTGACAGCCCAGCCCTGTGAATGCAGAGACTGTTTCCCTTCTAGCAAGAGACAGGGAGAGTGTGTGTGAGGACTGGGAGGGTGGCTCCCCCTTCCTTTTCATTCCGCCTCCCCTCCCCCTCCAAATCTGCACGTCCAACCATGAGTTGCCTGTTGATTTCTTTTCGCCTGGGAAGAAAAGCAAACTGGAATTAAACTGCATAGAGAGAAGTCCTTGCTCACTGACAGAGGATGGGATGGTAGCGGCAGCTACTGGCTTGGCGTAGAGAAATCACAGAGTGTGTTCTACGAACAGAGGCGGAGATATATCTATATATTGCCCCCTCCCAGTAGACTTACACCGCAAATGCTGATCAGGCTGTGGCTTTCTTGATTTCGGGGGAGAGCCTTTTCCAAGGAAGAGAGGGAGGAGCCTGGTTGGGGGGAGGAAACTACAAATCGGGACACTAGTTCTTTGCGCTGCATTTCCTCCCCTCCCTTTGGCTGCTCGGAAAGAAGAGAGAGAGAGAAAAAAAAAAATACGCTTGGCTGGGAGATGCAGTCCGCCGCCGCCGCTGCCTCAGCCAGCAATGCAAGATTAGATCTCTAAATGCAGCAAAACACTGCCTGAAAACACACCAGCCCGCGCAGCAAGCAGACATTTCACGGGGCGCCGGGGAAGCTTCAAAATAAATCTGTGACTCTCTCGTTACTGCTCCTCATCCCCATTAATTTCATCACGGGAGACGAGTAACAAGTAAGGATTTCACTTTCGGATCTGCCTGGAGACACACCTCCTCGCACCCTCCCCCACCCGATGTGAAGAGTATTCCGGAGGCTACCGGCGGGAGTGGATTTGCAGCGCCCTAGCGGGAGCGAGGAAAACCTACTGATTCTTCAGCTCATTATCATCACTCCCAGACGTGATTTCCTTCTTATCGCCAACCTCATCGCTCAAGTTTGAGCCTCCAGAAGTCCGGGCGGGAGAGACAAAGCCCGGAGCTCGCCCCCAGCCGCAGGGAGCCGCCGCCTTGCTCTGAGCCCCTGCAGCTCCGCTGCGCCGCTGCTTCTCACCCAGTGCGGATGCTGTAGATCAACAGGTTCAGGGAACTTCAGCGGAATAAGGAGAGATCTCCGGGTGCCGCAGCCGGGTGAGAAGGAAGCAAGGACCCACAGACTTGTGGCTCGCGCCGCGCAAGCACGCCGCACCCGGGCCCCAGGCTGGCGCGCACCCACCCGCTAGCCCCACCAGTCGGACTGCTCCTGCCCCCACCCCACCGGTCTGGGATGTACCTTTCCATCTGTTGCTGCTTCCTTCTATGGGCCCCTGCCCTGACGCTCAAAAACCTCAACTACTCGGTGCCAGAGGAGCAAGGGGCCGGGACTGTAATCGGCAACATCGGCAAGGATGCTCGACTGCAGCCGGGGCTTCCGCCGGCTGAGCGCGGCGGCGGCAGCGGTGGCGGGCGCGGCAAGTCCGGCAGCTACCGGGTGCTGGAGAACTAGGCGCCGCACCTGCTGGACGTAGACGCCGATAGCGGGCTTCTGTATACCAAGCAGCGCATCGACCGCGAGTCCTTGTGCCGCCACAACGCCAAGTGCCAACTGTCCCTCGAGGTGTTCGCCAACGACAAGGAGATCTGCATGATCAAAGTAGAGATCCAGGACATCAACGACAACGCTCCCTCCTTCCCCTCGGACCAGATCGAAATGGACATCTCTGAGAACGCTGCCCCAGGAACCCGCTTCCCCCTCACCAGCGCACATGACCCCGACGCCGGCGAAAACGGGCTCCGCACTTACCTGCTCACCCGCGACGACCACGGGCTCTTTGCACTGGACGTGAAGTCCCGTGGCGACGGCACCAAGTTCCCAGAGCTGGTCATCCAGAAGGCGCTGGACCGCGAGCAGCAGAACCACCACACCCTGGTGCTGACTGCGCTAGATGGCGGCGAACCGCCGCGCTCTGCCACTGTGCAAATCAACGTGAAGGTGATCGACTCCAATGACAACAGCCCGGTCTTTGAGGCCCCCTCCTACCTGGTGGAACTGCCTGAGAACGCCCCGCTGGGCACTGTGGTCATAGATCTGAATGCCACCGACGCTGACGAGGGTCCCAACGGCGAAGTACTCTATTCTTTTAGCAGCTACGTACCCGACCGCGTGCGGGAGCTCTTCTCAATCGACCCCAAGACAGGCCTGATCCGTGTTAAAGGTAATCTGGACTATGAGGAGAACGGGATGCTGGAGATCGACGTGCAGGCCAGAGATCTGGGGCCTAACCCTATCCCGGCCCACTGCAAGGTCACGGTCAAGCTCATCGACCGTAACGACAACGCGCCGTCCATCGGTTTCGTCTCCGTGCGCCAGGGGGCGCTGAGCGAGGCCGCCCCTCCTGGCACCGTCATCGCCCTGGTACGGGTCACTGACCGAGACTCAGGCAAGAATGGGCAGTTGCAGTGTCGGGTCCTGGGTGGAGGAGGGACTGGAGGCGGCGGCGGCCTCGGTGGGCCCGGGGGTTCCGTCCCCTTTAAGCTTGAGGAGAACTACGACAACTTCTACACAGTGGTGACTGATCGTCCGCTGGACCGTGAGACTCAGGACGAGTACAACGTGACAATTGTGGCGCGGGATGGGGGCTCACCCCCTCTCAACTCCACCAAGTCGTTCGCGGTCAAGATTCTGGACGAGAATGACAACCCGCCTCGTTTCACCAAAGGGCTTTACGTGCTGCAGGTGCATGAGAACAACATCCCAGGAGAGTACTTGGGCTCTGTGCTTGCCCAGGATCCCGACCTGGGCCAAAACGGCACAGTATCGTACTCCATCCTGCCCTCGCACATTGGCGACGTCTCCATTTACACCTATGTCTCTGTGAACCCCACCAATGGAGCCATATATGCTCTGCGCTCCTTCAACTATGAGCAAACTAAGGCTTTTGAGTTCAAGGTGCTTGCTAAAGACTCCGGGGCACCCGCGCACTTGGAGAGCAATGCTACTGTGAGGGTGACAGTGCTGGACGTGAATGACAATGCGCCAGTGATCGTGCTGCCCACTCTGCAGAACGATACCGCTGAGCTGCAGGTGCCCCGCAATGCTGGCCTAGGCTACCTGGTAAGCACCGTGCGCGCCCTCGATAGCGATTTTGGCGAGAGCGGGCGTCTCACCTACGAGATCGTGGATGGCAATGACGACCACCTGTTTGAAATCGACCCCTCGAGCGGCGAGATCCGCACGCTGCACCCTTTCTGGGAAGATGTGACACCTGTGGTAGAGCTGGTGGTGAAGGTGACAGACCACGGCAAACCTACCCTGTCCGCTGTGGCCAAGCTCATCATTCGCTCCGTGAGCGGCTCCCTGCCAGAGGGGGTACCGCGGGTGAATGGCGAGCAGCACCACTGGGACATGTCGCTGCCGCTCATTGTGACTCTGAGCACTATCTCCATTATCCTCCTAGCGGCCATGATCACCATCGCCGTCAAGTGCAAGCGTGAGAACAAGGAGATCCGCACTTACAACTGCCGCATCGCCGAGTACAGCCACCCTCAGCTGGGCGGGGGCAAAGGCAAGAAGAAGAAGATCAACAAAAACGATATCATGCTAGTGCAGAGCGAGGTGGAGGAGAGGAACGCGATGAACGTCATGAACGTGGTGAGCAGCCCCTCCCTAGCCACCTCCCCCATGTACTTCGACTACCAGACCCGCCTGCCCCTCAGCTCTCCCCGGTCGGAGGTGATGTATCTCAAACCAGCCTCCAACAATCTGACTGTCCCTCAGGGGCACGCGGGCTGCCACACCAGCTTCACCGGACAAGGGACTAATGCGAGCGAGCCCCCTGCCACTCGGATGTCCATAATTCAGGTAGGAGTCTTTTAGCATGACTGGGACTTCACTTTATTGCTGGTTCTGGAGCTGTCCTGAACCTCTGGAACAGGACAAGCCACACTGCCAGCAGCAGTGAGAGGGGAAAGTTAAAAAATGAGAATGGTTTACACTTTTGACACTGTGTGTACATCATATTCTCCACATGTCCCCTCCCATGTAAATAGTCTAAAATCTAAAAGATGTAAATGTCTTAATTCTGGTGCAATTTAAAAGTTTATTTTTCTAGGTTTAATCATGTTAGCAGTGCTCAGTATTCAGTTTATTTTATTTTATTTTATTTATTGGTTTACATTTCTTTCCAGAAGAAAGGATTCCCAGAGTAGAAAGCCTGTTGTTGGTTAATACTCTTAGCTCTATTAATTTTTTATGCCAAACATAAAATTTATACTCAAATAACAAGAAATGAACTTCCTGAAGTGGAGAAGAGCAACCAGTCTGAATTCCATAGCTTGAATCAATTTGAATTAAGTATGCATCCTCCCAATAAGTCAGTTTGACATAAAAAAATGTTTTAAAAGACATGAATCTCATTTTCCATAACTAAAACTAAAAGTTTTCTTGCTAAAACTTCAGCATAATGCATTGGTGCAGCTCAATGAGTTATACTCTACACTTCCAAAAGTTTGAATAAGTACAAGTTCCTGATGATCCCTAGTAACTATCTTTAAAAAGTTTATTTTGCTTTTTTTTTTTTTTTGGCCTGTGGTTCCCTGATTTGTTTCTTAAAGTGACTGAGGAATGAACAAAGTACACAAGAGGGTCATAGGCTCATTTTGTGCTATTGAAAACAGGAGGCAAAGTTGCATTGAAAGTACTTTATGTGCCAAACAGAATTTCATGGTGCACTTATTTTGAATACTGTCTATATTTAATATGGATATTTAATATATATTAGATAGTTTGACTCAAAGTTATTGATAGAAAACAACAACTAAAAGATGATCCAGTATGGACAACAGGTTCTAACAGCAGATAACTGTATTGTGCCTGGTTTCTTTTTCCACTATTGAGTGTGTCACAGAAAAACTTAATTTTTGCTTACTATGAATGTGTGTTGCTACAGATTACTCTGGAAGAGTAGTACTTGAAATTTGAAATTGAGCTTAACTAAAAGTGACATTTTGGGAGGAAGATTAGTTTGGGGCAAATGGAAATAATCTGTTCATGATTTTATGCTTTGAAAAGCAAAGGATTTTCAATGACACTTGACTCAATAATGTTTTTATTGTTAAAATGAAGTAGTAAAATTTTATAATCTTATTTTGTCTTTTATAACAAATGTACCAAATATTAATACTTAGCAAAGCATATATTCCTATAATAATATCACTGTAAAACAGACTCTTAACATTTGATGCTACTAAATACCAAAGTATCAGTAGTAGTATTAAATACTGCTTTTTATTCTGTTTACTGTACATCAATAATCATGATTTCAGGTCTATTATAAACTGGAAAAAAACCTGCTTAAAAAACAAGTGGCTTCTATGAAAGTTTTTCTGTGACTGTGTAAAATTGGTATTTATATAATCAATATATCTTTAATAGGAGATCTGTTCAAATATACATTTATAAATCTGATGCAATCATTTCATAAATGCATATGGTATATACCTTTCTTTTATTTTTCCATTGACAAATACAAAGATTTCATGGAGGGTTAATTCTCAAACTTCTACTTCAAGTTTTGTGAGTTGAATTCTTATTTAGTTTCCAGTAAAAATGAAGTTAGTACAGTCCTCTCAATAAGCTTGATTCCTTGGCCAGATTAGTAAGGAATAATTAATCCTGGGTTGAAATATTCAGCTTTTAAAGGACAGTGATGCACGTACTATTTTTATGCTCTGCTGTCCTTTAACCTGGTCATTGCTTCAAGATCAAGTAATGAATAATAATGATTATTCCTCTTATTAGCAGTAAACTTAAGCAAAAGCAAAACTGTGTGTGTCTGTCTCTCTGTCACTCTCTCTCACACACTCATATTTTAAGCAGAAAACAAAGGACAAACTTCCTTGCCATTTATTTTTTTCTTGAATATTAATCTACACTATAACAACACAAAATGATAGTTTAGCTTTGATTTTAAGTCCTTGAATTGTTTTCCTTTCAGAGTGGCTTAATGTCCCATATTGCATCTGCTCTGGAAATAACCTCAAAATAAACTGTTAAAATAGTATTAAGACTCCTTGAAATAAATTCAATTTAGATACTAAAAAAAAAAATAGTATTAAGATACGCTTTTTTTTTAATCAAGTTTTTTCAGTCCGCAAAAGAACATTTTGTAACATTGTTAATTGCCTATAAAATGAAAAAAAAATGGATCAGGTTTATCTCTTATTATGGAGAACAGCGTAATTAACTAAATAGACTATATATTTCTCTTTCTCTTTTTTAAACTAGTGTGCTAAATCACATTGTGATAATGTGGCATGTTTAAATTAAAGCATTCGGGTATCCCATAGTTTTGTTTGAAGTGCATTTTTTTAGTGCATGTGTGTAGTACAGCCCACTAAAGAAATATATTATTAATCTCATCTGTACTTCTGAAAGAAGAATCTGAGTCTATGGCATTTAGACTAACAGCTGTAATATCCAGTTCATATTTATTTTCCAGCTAATCGTGCATTGTTTAGAATGTGTACACTGTTCGGCTAATTCCATGAATCAGCTGAAAAGAATTTCAAAATTCTCTTGAGATACACTGGTATAGTGTGATGATATGAGATTTAAAAACTTCATGATTTATAATCTCATGTTGTAGCCAAAGTTAAGGTTTTGTTTAAGTATCAAGGAATTTTCTGTAGTTCACAGGGCCTAATGTGTTAAGGCTAATGTCTTTACATTGTTCTTTGACACAAGAGGTTTTTTTGTTTGTTTGTTTGTTTGTTTTTCTGAATCAGGGTACAGAATAATCATGTAAACTGGTGGAAAAACAGTGGTATATGAAAAGAGACTTTATTTCAGGTTTTTTTTCAAGTTCCTCAGACTTAAAATCAATCTGCAAAGGATTTAACCAAGAAATTAGTGACTAAAATTTACAATAGTGTAATTTAAAACAACAGATAATAAACATTTAATAAACATTTTATTTTAAAACTATTAAACTTACATTAAAGAATAAGAGCATAGATTTTATGATAATTAATGCAAATATATTATTATACAGATGTATAAGAGCACTTTCATAAGAGCAAATTCCATGCAACATTTTATATGTCAATATTAAATACACAGTCAGGTTGTAATTGTCACTAATTCTCAAAGCTACTAATGGTGGCTTATCAAAAATGAGTTGTTAAGTCTCAGGGTGACTTCTCAACAGGTGTTTTCAGTAAAGGCTTGCTTGAGAAGAGAGGAGGAGGCTGGGGACTTCTCACTGGTGGGAGAATTTCCAGTTTTGTTTGAACATCTGTGTTTTTACATTTTTTGTAGCACTACTATAAGTCATTTTAATATGCTTCAATAGAAAAAAAATATTGGGTCAGCAGAATAAGAGCTACTAAAATACATTTTTTAAAGTAATATATTCTTACTTGATGTTTTACAGATCAATTTCAAAAGATTCACATTAGGGTTGACTTTAGAGCATTTGTGTGAGGAAGATAAAATCCTTTTCATATATGTGCACGGCCTTTTCAATAAAAGAGAATTAAGCACATGGTAAATGCCCAGAGCCAATCCAAATATATAAAAATGAGATTGAAGTATAGAGGACTAAAGTATCATAGTGTAAGCAATAAACTCAGTATTTCAGAATGAAAAGGTGAAAAAGAAAGTCTGTTTTTAATAGCAACATTATCCACTGTCAGCTTGATTCTCACTTCTGTAATACTTAAGGTTCTTGACTGTAGGGGCTCATTCTAATGAATTTCCAAGATCATGATATTCACAACTTCAAATTATAGTATATCAATGATTTCAGTAACACTGTGTGAACATTTTCTGTCATTGATCATTTTTGAGATATTTTGCTACCATTTTTATTCCAAAACAGTACCACTTGGTTATTTATATACATTCGTTTTCATTAACAATAGATATCTATTTATAGGCTGAATAGGAAAGGAATGTCCCTTTCCTACTGTGTGATCTAGGGGTGTTTTATCCCCTTGTCTATTTCCTGAAGGATTTTGAAAATATATAAAAGGAGTAATTTCTACTTTAGATTAGTGTGATTCTACAGTTATTAAATTATTTTTCTGTTTTATCATGCATTTAAATGAGTGCAAGTAGAGTACGTAAATGTAGTTTAAAATATGATCAGCCAGTAGGTGTTTGGGATCTTTTTGGGAAATAGTTTAAAATTTTAAAAACTTTAAAACTTATTATTATTATTTTATTATATTGTTACTTTTATTCCTAGTTTTGTGTGCACCTATGAAAATTTTATCGTCAATGTAAATCTATGTGCATTTTTTATTTTAAATAAATGAAAACATAAAGAATATACTTTTTAACTACATGAACTGGAAACCACATTTTTATTTTTACTATTGGTTGCTTTGATAACTCTTCATAAGGTGATAGCTTCTTTATCCACTAACTTTTAGTTTTCAGTAAAATTTCCAAAGTGCCAGCTAGATAGTACTGTATGAGTCTTAAGATGATAATCCTTCAGTGTTTTCAACATGTAAGAAAAAGATAGTTTTTTATTGCTTGAGTTGTATGAGCGAGTTCTATCATTTCATTAGATATTATCATATATAAATCTATGCCAAGGATTTTGGAATTTTATTCTTGGCACATTCATATTATTCAAGGCTCTGTATGATCTGAAAAGATATCAGGTCATAGGAAAGTATGCCCTATAATTCCTATCTCAACAACCTGAACATCTTAATCAAAAAAAAAATTTACATTTTTTAAAAACATTATCGCCTTTGCTAATGTTGCTCAATCCATGCAAAACATACACATGTACACACATTTTTTAATACAGTTTTCTACATAAAGTTGATATGATAGCATGTATTATT